AAAACCGAGTGGTTTTTCTGCCAAACGGCACCATAAAATACGGTTATGGCCAGAGCTAATATGCTCCTTATTGACATTAAATCCTTGAGATATGAATCAATAGGATATGATTGATAGGGCACAAAGCCCTCTGTCAGCTAAGGTGGATTCAAATTTGTCTCCTTAGACAAACATTCACCCCATGTTTACAAGGTCCCCTTGGACGAAGCAACCCATGGCTGCCGACAAGGATCCTTCTGTCAGGTTGGGTTGACTACCTCCTCTGACTAAGTAGACCAAGGACAACGATGGCCCGGGACGACGGAACCATGGGATCTTGATCGGGTCTATCATCCACTCCCCCACCATCCGCTTTAACTGAAAGATGGTGGAAATTTCTATTTTAAATATAAAAGCTTCAAATTCCCAACTATTTCCAAACTTTCTAAACATTTCCAAATACCCAAATTCAAACACAATTCCCAAATCCCAACCCATTGATGCTATTATATGCCAGATAACACGTATTCTCTACGTATCTGATCGATGACTAGCCTTAATTGAAAGTTCTCTCTCGTGATCGGGAGGGGTAATTAACTATAGGGGCTTTCGCCTATAGGAAACCAGAACTCAGATCATAAAGTTCTCATAAAATGAGGGGAAATATCTGGGTAGTGTCTTATCTATAAACCCATCTGCCTTCCAAAATTTACCCCGGAACTTATCCGTTAAAACTCCCTCGCCGAATAAAAGGAAATCGCGCGGCGGGGAGGCTGGGGCCGAATTTTTGGAGCCCACAGTCCTCAAATATTTGATTGTATGTAATCAACAGTTCCGTTAATATTTTGTTGCCCTACACTAAACCTTATCCTAGTTTGCCTCCCCAAGTTACAATTTTCACATAAATTAATCTTGTCTACATTACCTTTGACAAAGACCCTTTATCAGAGTAAAACAATTTTAAACCCTTCTAACTAATATGACTTAGATGAAGATGCCAAAGCCTTATATACTATAATATTATTAGATATGAAGTGTGTACTTAACACTGCCGTTGCTAGGTCCCAATTACTGGATGAGAAAAACGGAAGATTGCGTTAGGTAGTCGATAGCCAGCGTAAAATTTGTCGAATAATCATGAAATTTAATTTTTAATGCATTGTGTTAATGCTAGGGCGTTTGTTTGAAGCAACATGTTGTATGACCTGAATATATAGACAAGTGTGCAAGGGCTGCTGCACCAGCGCTCGGGTGCAATGTTAAATATGCATTGGTTCCAACATCATGGATGGATGTGAGCAAAGAAACTAGTCCATGAAATTAAAATTAGGTTGAGTACTTGGAATATAGGTTCCCTTATAGACAAATTAATGAAATTAATAGATATTATGATTCATGGGAAGATAAATATTCTATGCATTCAGGAAACAAAATGGATTAAAGAGAAGGCTAAGGTGATTGATAATTTGGGATTTAAACTATAATATTTTGGTAGGAATCTTAATATAAATAGTGTAGGTGTGATTATAGATAAGAATTTAAAGGATTATATTGCAAAATTAATATAATTGTAGATAAAATTATAGCTTTAAAGATCATTTTTGATGCTAAGATTATTAATATTATAAGCATTTATACTCAAGTAGGTTTTGATATGTGTTCAAAATTAAAATTTTGGAATGACCTAGAAGAATTAATATAGAAGATAACTCTTGAAAAAATATTTTTATTGGAGGAGATTTAAATGAACAATGTTGTTATAGAGGTAGATGATTTTAGAAGTATTCATTGTGGCTATTGCTTTGGAGTGATTAATAAAGGTGATATGATTATATTAAAAATTTTTTTAGCTTATGATTTTATAATTGCTAATATCTTATTTAAGAAAAGAGATGAGTATCTCATTACTTATAAATGGATATTACATTGTGGCACTATGGGTCGGTTGAGTTATTTTTATCATATTTTTTAAGAGATATATTTAATTGAAGGGTATGCAACTCTTGAGAAACTCTTTTATTTGCATCTGATGATGGTAGATGTGAGTGTGAAGTGAAGAAGAGAGTGAGCGAACATCTATAAAATTTCTCCCATTTTTCAAAAGGGAGTTTTTGATGTGGTGCGGCTCCATAGTATTTTTTTCTCCGTTCTTTGAATTTTTCCACATTAAATCTTGATGTTCTTCATAATTATTTTCTTTTTCTTATTTGTTTCGTTCTTCGTACTTCCCTACAAGAAAGTGGCTAATAGCTATTACTAAAATTAAAAATTTATATTGCATGTATATAAGATTTATTCTGGTTTAAATCAGTTTTTCATTTATAATTTTTCACATAAATCATTCCTATCAAAATATTTTAAATAAACCTAAACAAATCTGTAAAAGAAATAAGAAATCGTTCACCTAAATTTACTCTGATCCTTACAGACAGTGCCTCTTAGATCGTTATCTGATTCTCATGATTTGAAGTGAGATACCATCGGATTCCACATCTAGATGTGATATAGGAGGACAAATCCCCTTTTGAATCTAGCCTCTTTGGTCTTCTTGTCAATCTTGCCCGAGTCCCTTTTCCCTATCTCCTTTGAATTTGTATTCCTTCTCTCACCCGCGCGAGATGGCTATGCCATGTTTCTCACGGTTTGGTTCTTGTAGGAGTAATTAAATAGAAATCAAGCAAAAAATGCACCTGCATAGACAGCCAAACATAAATAAAATGATTTGTATTAAAGCAACACAAAAAGCTACATATATAAAACATCAAATAAAATAAGCTTAAATACCTAATGCTTGACTCAATGATATAACACTTTTACTATTAGAGAGAGAGAGAGAGAGAGAGAGAGAGGGAGAGAGAGAGAGAGAGAGAGAGGCTTTATTTGGAAGTGGTGTTTTCTTCTAGATGTCTTATTCAAGAATTTCAAACTTGAAATTCAGAATTTGAAGAGAGTTTAGGGTCGCTCTTGGCATAGGGGAATTAATAATCTTTCGAAATAATTTACAAAAGATTGGCTTTGAAATTTAAAGAGATCACGAATATAATCTTTTTATTTTCCTATTTAACCTTGTTGACATATTTGACTTTTGATGTCAAAAGCATGATAGCAATTCTGCATAAATAGATCACATTTTTTTTTTTTACTTTGTTAATATATTTTGCTTTTAGGTTCATAGGCTATTAGATATTTCGTACTTTATTAAGAAGTAAAAGAAAGAAAAAAAAAAGGACAAAAATCATACGAATTTAGCAATCATATTTTTATGACTTGTACAATAATATTTTTTTCATGTGTGAATCTATGCTGCTATTATATTTGTCAGAATACAGATTTATCTTTTGTGAAAAATTACAAGTTACTTTGGAGCTTTTTTTACTGCTGAGACCATCACAACTCCCTATTTCACACATTTTAACACTTTGAATTAGCTTTGGCACGACAAAGATCGTGAGAGAATCCTTGAACCTCACCCAAAGATATTGCAGTGGGTAGAAAATGTGAAGAAGGCTACTAATCCATATTTTCAGGATGTTCACACCGCGCTTTACAAAGCGAAGGAAATGTTGAAGGCAAAGCAGAGTAAAAGTCCTTAAAGCCGTTGAAATAGGTTAAAATGTTGCTTCTATGGAACTTTGGTGCAATAATAAATTATAGACAGGTATGAATCTACAGTTGTAGGTTCTGTTGTTCTGTGTACTGTTAACTCATGCGACGCATAACTAATTTTTATTTTCAGACATTAAATTGGTGCCTATCTTTTTTTTTTAAATGGTGAATTATGTCTTGCAAAAGTCTTATTTCGATTGGAAAACGTGATTTTCTTTCTTGCAAAATAATAATAAAAAAGGGATTTGTACTTGAAAGCCTTATAGGCAAGGTTGTGAAAACCGGACCGGACAACGAACCGGAAGAATGAGAGGTGTGTTATAGACAGGTATGAATCTACAGTTGTAGGTTCTGTTGTTCTGTGTACTGTTAACTCATGCGACGCATAACTAATTTTTATTTTCAGACATTTAAATGGTGCCTATAGAGCTTTTTTTTTAAAAAAAAAAATCGTGAATTATGGCTTGCAAAAGTATTCTTTCGATTGGAAAACGTGATTTGCATTCTTGCAAAATAATAATAAAAAAAGGATTTGTGCTTATCAAATTCTTCTTGTAAGAGAATAATCCACCTCACTAATTTAGATTTGCTGTCTTTATTTGTCATAAGATATTTAATAGTAGCATGATCGGTAAAAATGAATTACTTTAATAACAATCAAATAAAATATAAATTTATCAAGAAGAGAAATAATGGCAACTAATTCCTTTTTAGTGGTAGTATAATTATATTTTGTAAAATTTAAGATTTTATTAGCATAAGAAATGATATGAAATTTCTTATCTTGTTTTTAACCTAGAACAACACCAATAGAAAGATTGCTTGCATCTCAAATAGTTATAAAAGGTAAGGACCAATCAAGAGTGGTAATTAGCTGATGTTTCAAGGTATTAAATGCTTCAAGATATGCAGTATAAAAATAAAAAAAAAGAACATTCTTTTCCAACAAATGCAATAAGGGTTTTTTAAATTAAAAAAAAAAAATCCATTATAAACCTTTTATAAAATCCAACATGCCCAAAAAAGCTCATAATTCCTTTAACAAAAGTGGGTGGGGATAGTTTCTTTATAACTTGAATTTTTACAATGTTTACCTTTAATTATCCCTTAGAAATTTATGCCCCTAGAGCATACCCTTGATCACCATAAATTGATATTTCTCCCAATTTAACACTAAATTTGTATCTATATATCTTTTCAAGACGTAAGTTAAATGCTTAAGATAAGAATCAAATGTAGTGCCAAAAATAATGAGGTCATCTATGAAGATTTTAATGTCATTCTCAATTAAGTTTGAAAAAGTTGTCATCATGCATCTTTGAAAGGTAGTATAAGCATTGCAAGGATCAAAAGACGTTCTCCTGAAGGCAAATGTCCTATAAGGATTGGTGAAGGTAGTCTTATCTTGGTCCTTAGGTGTTATAGAAATTTGGTTATACCCTAAATAGTCATATACAAAATAGTAGAATAAATGTCTTGCCAACCTATCTAACATATGATTTAGGAAATGCAAAGGAAACTGATCTTTTATTGTGGCCTAATTAGCTTCCTATAATCTATGCGGATTCTCCAACTAGTGATAGTCCTAATAGGAATAAATTCTTTGTGTTTATTAGTTATTATAGCTATACCCCCATCTTAGGAACACAATGAAAGTGACTCACCCAAGCACTGTCAGAAATATGATAGACAATTCTAGCATCAAGCCATTTAAGTAACAGCAATAGACCACTTAAAAGCTATATTTTCTCTTCTTATAGAAAATGATCACAAGAAAAGTTGAATTTTTAACTAAAAAGGCATACTTTAGATGGCTAGCTAAAACCTTAAGCTTTAAGTCAGAGGCTTTTTCTATAGAAGGTCTCAAAGTTCTACCCATCGATGAAGTATCTAAAGTCTCAAAAAATCTACCTAAACATTTCAATATTATCTCCAATAGATTGAACAGATTCTCCTAAGTCCTCATCATCTTTCTCAATTTCTTCTTCTATTGAATTCTTCCCTAACAATTCTTCTTTAAAGCGCTCCACTATAGCGTCTTCCAGACCAACTCTAAATAGATTCTAATTTTTTCATAAGGGAACTTCATAGCTTTAAGAACATCAATTGTCACTTCATGATCTTGAACCCTCATAGTCAATTATCATTTATGAACATCAATCATAGCCTTTCTAATGGCTAGGAAAGTTCTTCCTAAAATAACATATGTCTTCCTATCTTCTTTCATGTCAAGGATAATAAAATCAACAGGTAAAATACACTTTTCTACCTTAATCAAAACATCTATTACCCCCTTAGGATAAGTGAAAGATTCATCAATAAACTGAAGGATAACATAGGTAGGTTGAACCTCTTTTATGTCTATTCTTCTAAAATGGATAAGGGAATATGATTGATGCTAGATCCTAAATCACATAAAGCTTTACAATAGAATTTATCTTTTATTGTAATGGGAATGGCGAAGCTACCAAGATCTTTTAGTTTTTCAAAAAGTTTCTTTTGAGTGATAGCACTACATGTTCCAGTTAAGGTTACAATTTTTAATTCTCATATCTTTCTTTTCTTATTCAGAATATCCTTCATAAATTTAGAATAAGTGGGCATATGCTCTAGAGCTTCAGAGAATGGTATATTGATGGTTAACTTTTTAAACACATTTAAGAACCAAGATAATTTCTTATCCAAAATATGTTTGATCAGCCTCTAAGGAAAGGGTGGTAGTGGTCTCTCTACTGTGTAGTATGTCATTGATATCCTCCTAAGGCTATTAATGTATTGATATATTTTGGATATAGTAAGTCTCGCTTGGGCCTTTGCACGAGTAAGAAAATAGCAGGGAGCATATAAAAATGTTTCACCATAATAACTTTTGAGAAGTTACTAAGCAAGGCATTTAGCATCTAATAGGAAACTTCACAATTTATATTCTCAAATGAATAATCTCCATCTAATAGCAAGAGGCCAAAACCCCAAAAAGTATTGAAAACTATATTTGGGTTAGTTTCATCTAATGATAAGGGATGACAAGCAAAGACGGTCTAGGAAGAAAATTTCTTAAAATAACAAGCACATAGAAAAATTGATTAGTATTAACCTATATAATATCAACCAAGAAAGTATCAATCTCAACAATATCATTATCCTTCACATTCACATTATACAACACAAAAAAGGATTAGAATCTTAAAAAGCCTAAATTATATATTACATTTCAAAAGATATGCGATGGGAATGATTTTAAAGAACCTTTTAAAGAAAATAGATTATAAGCTTCGCAGTTCTGTTGACTTCATTTTTATCTAAGGTCAGAACCATAAATCAAAGCTTCAATCTTCATTTTCAATTTCTCGAATGCAACTTCAAAGATACAATATAATTCCTCAATATCCTCTTGCATGATTATTCAATCATTGATCCCCAAATAAGAAATTGATAATCAACTTTGATGGTCCTCTGATCAACCACTAAAACACTGATAATTACCCAATGTTTGTAATTGATATGAGGATTTTAAATACTAAACTCTTTAATTGCTGATAAAATTCGATCCTAAATAAATCTAAATCCAAAACCAACATAAAAGTCCAAACACGAAAAATCTAATGTTCAAACCTAAAGCACAAAGCCTTTGGTTTTTACCCTTATTTCATGGAAAGTTTTGATTTATAACCCTGATTAGAAGCTCTTGAATGGTGTTTTATCAATTGCATATTGACTAGGTATGCCCATAGTCTACCTAAACATTTTGGAGGCCTCAAGCACCTTTTGAACCCTAAGACCTAATGCATATTCCAAGAATACAAACCTTCAAATATTTATAACTCATATCAGTGGAAACGACATCTTGATGTAAATCACCTTGGATGTTTGTTCAAACTCATTAAGCATGTTCATAATCATCATTACATTGAGTCAAATTTATTTGAGTCCATGGTTGGCGAAGATTGACTTGAGATGATCTAGTTGGACCTATGGACCCCTTCTAAGGATAAGCCCTTCATATGCATGAATCTTTTTTAATTATCCAATCCAAGACATGGATTCCTATCCTAAGCATTGAACAATCATTCATGATCATGCATAAATCATATTGAACCCTTGAATTGGCTAAGTTGACCATCATTGGTGACTTTGACCCTTAAACCCCTTTAACCCAAAACCCTAAATCATATATAGAATCCATCCTAAACCCCACCAAAACCTTCAAATTTTTCCAAAACTTAAACCATACATGAATAAATACAATCAATATCTTAGTATGCAAATGTTGACCATAATTGACAAAGAAACTTTAAACCCTAAAAACCTAAAAATTGAAGGTTTGAATCAAACCATTATGGCTTAGTCATGCCATGACCCCAAGATAAGTTCCAACCAATTCTAAGGATCGTTTGTAGTGGATTAAACCTAAACCCAAGCCTTGCTTAAGATATCTTTCAGATATTAGAGAAGAAAAACTCACTCTCTATTATAAGGAAGAGTAAATCACAAAGCAGAATCAAATTCATATGATAAATGTAACAACAAGATTAAGAAAGCTTGAAAGTGATGCAATAACTTTGAACATTATTTATGTAAGATAGATTACTGTAACAAGATAGAAAAGATCTCAATCATAAAATCTAGTTGTTAATTTAAGAAAAAAATTTATTTAGAAAAGAAAACTACACTGCTAAAAGAAGTTAAGAGGAAAGAAAACAATCAACAGTGTTTCTCCCTTCAATTGATTTAGGGTTGTCAAAGCTTGATTATAATCTTTTAAAAATACGGTATAAAATATCATTTCAGCAGTGACAAAAAAAAACTAAAACATGAGAAATGAAAACATGAAAAATAATAACAAATAAAAATCAACAATTAAAACTAAAAACAAAAGAAAAATCAAAAATAAAAGAAAGAACATAAAACAACAACAAACAACATAACAAAAAATATTCAGTAAGCATCAAGTTTATGCATTTAAGTTAATCACATCCAATCTTATCCTTAAGATGCTGTATGTGTCAAATGCCAGTAGTTTTGTAAAGATGATTGCTAGTTGATTCTCAGTTGCCACATAGTTTAACTCAATGTCTCCTTTGGTAACATGGTCCCTAATAAAGTGACGACTTATGTGAATGTGTTTAGTCCTTGAA